TCGCAGCGGTTTCTGTTCAAATTCCACACTGCATCACAATCGCACCACGTTCATGCGAACCACTGCGGGTGTGTAAGTTGAGTTAACAACACCCCAAAATTGTTCCGCAAAATGTGGTGCGATATGCAGAATCAGATTGCATGGGTGTGAATACCCTTGCGATCCGATACTAGTGTGGACCAAGAAAAGGGTCCTGCACTTTTTTTGATGCGGTGCAATTTGAGCCATATAAAATGTATGGCTCAAATCGCACCGCACAGAATTTGCATAGGAATGCAGTGTGGTTCCTGTGCAAATCACATGCGATATGCCGCACCACATCAGTGTGAACCCAGGCTTGAAGTCTAGTTAGTTTTAAACACAACAAAATTCCTCCAAGCATGATCCAAGAACTTTCCAAAATAACAGATCATTATGGATTAATAAAGTCCCACCATGTGACACATACACTCGGATGGAAAAAATTCTCCTCTCTTAGACACTAAAGTGGTTCTAAGGTCTGTGTTTTTTTTTTTTTTTTTTTGTTTTTTTTTTTAACCTAAATGCATTGCCTGCATTAAAGGAGAAGTAGGGTTTTTTTTTTTTTTTTTTTTTTCTCCATTTATACATACAGTACCTAGGTGAATGCAGCATCGATCCCCCGTCGACTCTAAGGGTGAGAACTCAGCGATCACCTGATCGTTGAGTCTCCCCTCTCTGTTCTGATTAGAGGGTAGTGATTGTCATTCAACTCTGTCTGCTCTGCACAATACCCCCCTTCCCCGAGTGCTAGGCTATGTAGGGGGAGGGAGCGGCTGGCTCTGGCTCTCACCGCTTTACTGAGAGGCTGAGCCAGGTGCCGCTCCAGACTCTGCGGTGGATCCTGATTTTGAAGTCGGGATCTTTCCCCAGCCTGGACCGGCTAAGTGACGTCAGCCAACAGGGGACCTCAGCCCACTGTCAGCTGAAAACAGGTCACAGGAGTGCAGGACGAACTGCACTCCTGTGATCCACAGGAGAAGTACAGCCTAATGAGCTTTGGCTATACTTCTCCTTTTTAAGGTTAAAAAAAGCCTACTTGTCCCGGGATGTTCCCCCGGGCGGAATTTTTTCGATACCTTCAATTGCGGCACTGGCTACTCTCGGCTGCGGGCCACTTCTTCTTTTCCATACCAGAAATCGGCCTTTGACAGCTTTGTCAGCAGCGCCCGGGTGCCCCGGGCCTTATCTCCCTTCTTTATGCAGCCTTGAACAGACGCCCCGAGTTATCCGCATACTTCTCTTTCATATGTTGTTCATGTGGGAGCGTGACCTGGGGGTGGATGTGGATCCGCTGTTAGGGCCTGCAGCTAAATGCTCATTCAATACCACCACGCTGGAGCAGCCTATAAGGTGTTTTGTTGGTATTGGGTTCCGCTCCTCCAGGCTAATCCCGCTTGTAGTGATCTGCACTCGTGGCGATGTCTGCATTCTGGTGGTTCAGCCCAGAAGCCATAGGCTTTTTCCGTGTTGCACATCTATCCATACGCCGGGATGCTCGGTACCATCAGCAGAAGCTGGCGTCCTATTTGAAGAGTCCGTTTGTCCCTTTTCAAGGGGTGCGGGATCGTATGACCAATATGATGCAAAAGATGTCTTGCAACGACCCTATGTAATCCTGGGAACCATGGTTGCAATATGCCTTTCCCATTCCTTTGTACCTGACCAGGCCTGGCAGAGTTTTCCCTCTCCTCTTATATTTCTCTGGATAGTTGACAGTTGCCTTTAATTGCAGTTAGAATTTCATTACCGTCAGTAACCTATGTGCCATTGATAGTGCGTGGGCGTACCTTCTGCCTTGTTGAAGTTAGAGCACTTATTAAATCTTATCGGTGCAATTGATAGCCCCTGTGGGGGCATGTTTTGTCGCCTCTGTTTTATACTGCTTAAAACTAATAAAAACTATTGAAATACAAAAAAAGCCTACTTATCTACTTGTTCTACCCCCCTTCCCACCCTAAACACTTATCCGCTGTCTCCTGTCTGATTGCTGTGCCCCACTGCAGTTCCTCTCCCTTCTCTTCCTCTTTTCACTGGAGACTCGTTGCAGCAGCAGAAGCCATAGGCTTTAGTAGCACTTTAACCAAAATACTTTGGAAAGATCAAAAGTGCTTAAACCCCTATAATCCTGGAGATATCATTGTACCACCACCTCAGAGTTTTCCCCATATCTCGGAGAAGAAGAACGCAGCATGTAGTGTAATCCTTAAAAACTTTTTTGTTAAAAGAATGTGATTATGTCATTAAACTTGCCCTATGTGTCTTGTCACAAAGGACTTTATCTGGGGTAAGGTGTCTGCAATATTAATTAGAGGTGTTGGCTTCTTAGAACATAATTTTCTATAGGAGTGCAGGTGGTTTCCACCTGAGGAATGTTCACATAATGTGCATTTTTGTTCTGGCTCCCACAGATGAGATGGCATGTGATTCAGTCTCCTTAGGCTGTTTTCACATTGCTCGGTATCAAAAGTGCATATGCCTTTTTGCCAAGGTGCATTTTATTGTTCATGTGTTTGCATTGCGTTTTTCACCCATATCTCTGGAATGGACAAAGCATTTCCCACAGATGTGTTGCGTTTTTATTATGCATTTTTACCATATTTCACATTCCTTTCAATAGAGAGGTGCATTTTTTTTTTTTACCCGACCAGGGATGTTGAATTTCTATTGGTAGTTTCTTTACCTTCAGCCCTGCTGCGGCCAAGCAGCAGGGCTCACCTGTGAGCCCACACAGTGCCAGCCTCTACCGCCCCCCCATGTGAAGCTCCCCCACCCTCTGTCTCCCGGGCTCCGCTTGCCCATCTGCGGGCCCGAGACTGGCTCACCGCCGGCGGCTAGAGGGAAGGGAGGAGAGCGGACACGTCCACTCCCCACCCCTTCTTGTCCAAGCTCAGAAGTGACATTATGTTTGGGAATTTTATGTAATCTTCAGGCCAAAAAATGTTTGGTTTTAATCTTATGCAAAAAACGGACCTGCTGATTGGCTGTGTACAATCACAGCCCAGAGTTCTGTGTTTACTAAGAGATCTCTGTGTTAGTTAAAGCAGAACACTTTACATACATTACACATAGATAGTTAGGCACACATTTAACCCCTTGATCATTTTAGACGTTAACCCCTCCCCAGCCAGTGTCCTTAGTACAGTGAGAATGTATAATATCACTGATCAATGTATTATTGTCACTGGTGTGATGTCAGTGGCAGTTAATCCGTTCCCCCAGTGTCAGTTAGTGTCAGACTGCCCACCATAGTATTGCAGTCCCATTAAAAGTCGCTGATCACCGTTATTAATAGTATTTAAGAAAAAAAAATCTAGTACATATAGTTTGTAGATGCTATAACTTTCACACAAACCAACCAATATACACTTATTGGGATTTTTTTATATTGGACGTGTAGCAGAATGCATTTTGGTCACAATTTATGAAGAAATTTGATTTTTTTTTTTAAATTTTTTTGTTGGACATGTTTAATAGCTGAAAATAAAAATACATTTTTTTTTAAAAAATTTTCCAAACGTTTTTGGTCTTTTTTTTTTTTTATCACAAAAAATAAAAAAACACGGTGATCAAAAACCATAAAATGAAAGTTTTTTTGCATTGTGTAAAAAAAAAAAAATTATATAAATTTCAATTGGGTATGGCATTGCATTACTGCGCAATTACCTGTTAAAGTAGTGCAGTGCGGTATAGGAAACAAATGGCTTGGTCATAAGGGGGTAAAACCTTCCGGAGCTCAAGTGGATAAGGTAGTTGGATATTTGTGTAACTCCTCACAAAACCCATCCCACTGCTTGCATCACAGCTAGGGCCTCTTGAGAAGAGTGGGATAGTAAGGGTGCTGTAATGTTTTCAAGAATCTATATAACGCACCTTGCTGACCCCTCCCACCAGCCTTTATCTGCCTGCACTGCCTAAAGAAGCACAGAGCCACAGTGATATCACCTAAGTCTAAAGTAAGGTATGCAATGAAAACTGAAGAGTTTTATTTAAAAATATCTTTAGCATGTTAATAACAAGGGGGAGGAACCAGGACAATACAAAATAAAGGCCAAATAAGCGTAAGCTTTAACACAGTGTTAATGCAGAGAGAGTCCACGTGGGAAGCGGAAGCAAACAACTAGCACACGTGGGCTTAGAGTGAGCAGGTGTCAGCGCTGGACGTGTTTTGTACTCCATGGCAGCATACGCATGGGTCATTCGCAGAGCCTATTCTAGAGATGACCTCAAGTGGTGATACATACCAAGGGACCCAGAGAATCTAACACAGATGTGACCAGACGCTGTGACACCTGGTGTATAGGAACCTGGCCTGACCTGGGAGCAGATGACCTGAGTTTTACCTGATGAGACAGAAATAATCTCAAATGCGTGTTTAAAACGCGTTTTCTGGTGAGTGCGCACTTTGCTTATTTAGACACATCATCTGTCACCCCCAGATCAGATACCCATACACATTGTTGTGATCTTATGAGATCCTCACGTTCTGCATTATTATTTGGGACAATTTTTCACTATTACAGTCACCACGTGGTGATACTTTTACCTTGCACTTTTATATTTATTGATGCACTTTACATATATGTATATTGCACTTTATTAATTTATTTCTATCTATATATGCATAAATGTTGTATACTTCATCCTAGCACTGCACCTACTGTATTGATACTTATTTTGGAAGGTTTTCTTGGTTACCTTTTGGTGTTCTAGCGGCTGTCTTTTTGGGTAGCGCTCGCTTATATCTCCTTGCATATAAGCATAAGCTTTAAGTCTGGATAATATAATCTTCCTGCTAGTGAGATCTGTTTCACAGCATCTAGCGTAAAGTGGGCCACCAGAAAGCTGCTTCTTTTACTTTAGGGCTGAACCATCTGCTGCCTGCCAAAAGTCATAAGTTTGAAGAATTCATATGCAAAGTCTCATTCTCATCTGTTTACCTAACAAATTAATAGTTCAGAACTTAGTGTTACTAATCCCATGACCCTGCATTCACTATATCCAGTCTCCCACAATACACACAAAATGGAAATGCAATTATTGTAGTAAATATAAACTGCTAAATACCTTTTCTCATCAGTAGTATAAAGCAGTCTTGTGACTTCTGCCAGCTGTGCACTGGTTAAAGCTTGTAGGAGTTTTCATTCTCCTCTGACTGTCATATGAGGCTGCATAACCCCTGACCCTCTGCCTGTACAGTGCCATGCTGATCACATACACCCTCCCAAAGAAAAAAAAAAAAAAACACTCTAGCATTACACACCAAACTGAGCATGTGCAGAGTAACTTCTAGAGCTTTGTACTATCAGCATATAGATTGGGGACAGTAGAAAAAGGGGAGGATCAAAGAAAACAGGATCAAATAGCTTTTTTACACAATGCAGAAGATGAACTCGTTAGGTTCCAAAGTGCATGCTTTACTACATATACAGACTGATTTTTCTGTTGTGGGTTTAGTAACACCTGAATATATGGAGAAAATACAGTGAGGAACAGAAGTATTTGAGCACCCTACGATTTTGCAAGTTCTCTTACTTAGAAATCATGGAGGGGTCTGAAATTCACATTGTAGGTGCATTCCCACTCGGAGAGACTGAATTAAAAAAAAAATCAGGAAATCACATTGTATGATTTTTAAAGAATTTATTTGTCTTGCACTGCTGAACATAAGTATTTGAACACCTAAGAAACAGCAAGAATTCTAGCTCTCAAAGACCTGTTACTGTGCCTTTAAAAAGTCCACCTCTACTCCACTCAATCTAACTTAGTAGCACCTGTCTGAGCTTTTAAAAGACACCTGTCCACCCCACAGCCAGTCAGACGCCAACTACTACCATGGGCAAGACGAAAGAGCTGTCAAAAGACACCAGAGACAAAATTGTGGACCTCCACAAGGCTGGAAAGGGATATGGGGCAATTGCCAAGCAGCTTGGTGAAAATAGATCAACTGTTGGAGCAATTGTTAGAAAATGGAAGAGGCTAAAGACGACTGTCAGTCTCCCTCGGACTGGAGCTCCATGCAAGATCTCACCTCGTGGGGTATCACTGATGATAAGAAAGGTGAGGAATCAGCCCAGAACTACAAGGGAGGAGCTGGTCAATGACATGAAGAGAGCTGGGACCACAGTTTCAAAGGTCACTGTCGGTAGAACACTACGCCGTCATGGTTTCAAATCATGCATTGCGCGGAAGGTTCCCCTGCTCAGGTCATCACATGTCCAGGCCCGTCTGAAATTTGCCAATGACCATCTGGATGATCCAGAGGAGGCATGGGAGAAAGTCATGTGGTCAGATGAGACCAAAGTAGAACTTTTTGGTCTAAACTTCACTCGTCGTGTTTGGAGGAAAAAGGATGAGTTGCATCCCAAGAACACCATCCCTACTGTGAAGCATGGGGGTGGTAACATCATGCTTTGGGGGTGCTTTTCTGCGAAGGGGACAGGACGACTGCATTGTATTTAGGAGAGGATGAATGGGGCATTTGTGAGATTTTGAGCAACAGCCTCCTTCCCTCAGTCAGAGCTCATAGACTTGCAGTGAGGGAGTGGGCTAGTAAAGAAGCACCTAAATATTTAGCATTCATTGGTAAAATTATTTAAATTTAAGGTGATCACATATATTTGTGTAAAGATTATGTACAGTTAGCAAAAAGTCTGTTCTGTTCAATCAAATCAGACAGCTGGTGCCTATACCATATAGCTGCATTTATGTGTATGTATGTGTATGCCTTTTATTTTATGTGAAGATGGAAATTCTTTCTATTTCATATCCAAAATCACATTGAACTCATCCTCATGTATGAAAGAGAGCAATGTAACAGGAGGAGCATATCTGTATGTTACAATCTTTTATCATCTCTCGCTTAGATAAAATTAGTTTGTTGAAACTACATAAAATGTGGTTTCAGCAAGGCGGTGCCCCACCATACTTTGCTATTGCTGTTAGAATATTTTTTAGTAAAATGTTTCTAATGAATCCCAATTTAGATTAGGAATACTTTATTAACGACTTCTGCCCCAGTGATATACCGGTACATTGCAGGGTTGAACTGGTTATACCAGGATGATGCCTACTGCAAAAAAGATTGAGGCAGCTCTGGCCCTTCCTGTAGAGCACTTCAGTGTTCTTACCCCAATCCAATTTATTATCTATGTTCACCCCCCGATAGTTATAATTCTCTACTACATCCACACCAGGGGTGCGCAATTAATATTGCCTGACACTCGGGACATGTGGTTCCGGCTCCTGGCAGGTGGGTTACTTTTCCCCGTTTTAACCCTGCTGTGGTCCTCTTTGACCGCCCCTTGAAGACGTCATTCATGACGAAACTAGTAGGGCTTGGCTTGCTGGATGCTGACGTCTGTGGAGAGGATTAAGTCACGAGCGCTGTAGTGAGTGTGCGGGGAGCAGGAGACTGTTATACCATTTGCTGTTTTATGCTGTTATACTGGTGTCGGCGAAGACACCCTTTTTGTGAGTGCAAATCTTTATTAAATTGTTGGATACTTTTCTAAAAAAACTGGCTGCACCATGATTTTTTCTTTCATTCCCAAACATGACCTCGGTGGAGAGATATAAAAAGAGAGAGTGATATAATGCTCCTGGAACCATTATATTGAGTGGTGGATACCTACCTTATGGATGATTGTGTAGCTATTGATCATCACACCTGAGAAGTTGATTTAGTTACCCAACTTTACTTTGGTGGTGGATTTTGGCACAATTTCTTTGAGAGCACTTGAATTTGAAAAGGATTTGTTTGGACATTTGAAGAAGTTCAAAATTGGACAATTTTTATATTCACAAATTTTATTATTTCAATTACTTATGCACTAAAAAAATAGTTTTGCACATAATTTTGATATTTTTTGATAATAGATATATATATCTTTTGCACTAATGTTTCTACACTAAATTAGGAATAGTTTTGGTTTTAGCGCATTCCCTTTAAGTTATTTCTAAAAGCACCTCAGATTTAAATAGGGTTTTGGTTTGAGTTTTTTTTTTTTTTTTTTTTTTTTTTTATCAGGACAAGAAGATTGTCATGAAGGACAAGTAGATTGGGTCAACAGTATAGTCCCCTGGCGGACCTACTCAATATTAGGTGGGTAATCATAGAGCTATGGCTAATCAGAATGTGTATACAGTGTGTGTGTGTGTGCAGATAGATAAAATATAAATATCTATCTATCTTGGTAGATATACACATACGCGCTGAACACACATTTATATGTGGGGGAAAGTACAGCTTTTACTTAATATAGTGACCATAGCTGAACTGGCTGATTTGACAGTATTTTTCTACTTTTATTTATCAAAGCCCCAACATCTGCTTTTATTTAATACTTTTTAAATCTATTTTTAGGCTTGTGCACTAAAACAGCTGGAAGCAATATCCGTAGAAATAATTTCAGACTGAAGATTCTGTCCATGGAATATAGTATTTCTCATATAGAAGAAATATCCATATGATGTGCAGGTGCAGGTTTTGGCCTGGAGCTTGTTTTTTATCCAGTGTAGTGTGCAACTAATGTAAAAAAAAATGCACACATCAGCAAGGAATGCTGATTTTTAGCACGTCACAGTGTCCATGTGGCAAAAACAGTCTTGTCAGTTGATACTTTACAAATTTTACTTATTACCAGTTTATTTCATTCTGAGTCAAGTCTTAAAGTATTTGATGCATAGAGAAGGAAGTGTCTTATGACCTGTCTTTTGAAGCCACTTGGAGAATGGCCAAGAAGACTTAGAGAGTATGCACACTGTTACGCTTGTCCACAGTTGCTAATCATGAAATACCGTATTTGCCGGCGTATAAGACGACTGGGCGTATAAGACGACCCCCCTACTTTTCCTGCTAAAATGTAGTGTTTGGGCTATACTCGCCGTATAAGACTACCCCTCTTCCAATGCACACCAGTGGGAGGAATAGTGCCCCATCATTGATGTCAGTGGGAGGAATAGTGACCCATCATTGGTGTCAGTGGGAGGAATAGTGCCCCATCATTGGTATCAGTGGAAGGAATAGTGCCCCATCATTGGTATCAGTGGGAGGAATAGTGCCCCATCATTGGTATCAGTGGGAGGAATAGTGCCCCATCATTGGTATTAGTGGCAGGAATAGTGCCCCATCATTGGCATTAGTGGCAGGAATAGTGCCCTATCATTAGTATCAGTGGAGGAATAGTGCTCCATCATTGGTGTCAGTGGGAGGAATAGTGCCCCATCATTGGTATCAGTGGCAGGAATAGTGCCCCATCATTGGTATCAGTGGGAGGAATAGTGCCCCATCATTGGTATCAGTGGGGGGAATAGGTGCCCCATCATTGGTATCAGTGGCAGGAATGGTGCCCCATCATTGGTGTCAGTGGGAGGAATAGTGCCCCATCATTGATGTCAGTGGGAGGAATGGTGTCCCATCATTGGTGTCAGTGAGGGGTGGAATAGTGCCCCATCATTGGTGTCAGTGGGGGGTGGAATAGTGCCCCATCGTTGGTGTCAGTGGGGGGGGGGAATAGTGCCCCATCGTTGGTGTCAGTGGGGGGGGGAATAGTGCCCCATCGTTGGTGTCAGTGGGGGGGGGGGGGGGAGGGGGGGGAGGAATAGTGCCCCATCGTTGGTGTCAGTGGGAGGAATAGTGCCCCATCATTGGTATCAGTGACACCAATGATGGGGCACTATTCCTCCCACTGAGACTTGCTGACCCTGTTCTCGTATGGTGCTGCTGCAGCCAGCATATGTGGTTGCAGCAGCACCTCTACACAGAACACTTACCTGCTGCTCCGGCACTCAATTTTCGCGGGGCCGCTCGGCTCCGCCCCCTCGCCGGTGATTGGCCGCCTGTGTGCCTTTCCTGAGCTACAGTTCTGGCGGCCAATCACCGGTGAGGAGGCGGAGCCGAGCAGCCGCACGAACATCCAGTGGCCGAACTGAAGGAGACGCCGCGCTTCCTGGACCGGATTGTCGTGGGACTGGATCCAGGTAAGAGACATCAGCCCCTGCAAACCCCTGTACTTAATGCCGCAGCCCCCCTAACATGTGTACCAGCGTATAAGACGACCCCCGACTTTTGAGAAGATTTTCAAGGGTCAAAAAGTCGTCTTATACGCCGGCAAATACGGTAATTTACGCACCACAATTGTTTTGTGACTTTATTCAGTAAAGGCTTATAAAGACAGGGATTTAGAGCATGTATGTGTGTCTTATCCCCACGCATTACTTTAGGCTCATTCACTGCAATGGACAGCCTCAGTAGCACAAAAAAATTGTGCATGA